AGACATTTCATGACCCAACTAGGTAACATCATCAGTGCTAGAAGGGAATGAGGTTTGCTCTCATGCCGGCGGGGCGGGGGGGCGTGATTCAAATTTTTAACAACTGGTTCTGTGGCTTAGGTAGTGGGCATGGCTTGGTGGTCATGTGACTGAGTGGACATGGCTTGGTGGTCATGTTATTGGCTGGGCGTGGCCAACTCAATATCACTCACATCGAGGCACGCATCTCCTCGCCTGGCCTCTCGTGACTGTGCAGTAGTCATAAGTGTGAAAAATGGTCGTAAGTCACTTTTTTCAGTGCCATTGTAACTTTGAATGGTCACTCCACACAAGCAAAGTACCAGCAAAGGAGGGGAAAAATCCTCCAGAAAAGTTCCAGAGACAGGAAGTCTAGGCCCGCCAAGAATGTTAATAAGGGTTAACGGAGAGGCAGTTTCTGTAAGCAACACCAGAATGTTTCCTTCCTGCCTTCCTTACAGGATTAGCCCAGTAATTTTTTCTAACAACCGGTTCTCCGAACTGCTTAGAATGTTAACAACCGGTTCTAGTGAATAGGTGCGAACTGGTAGAATCCCACCCCTGCTCTCATGTTATCTATATAAAAGCAAACCACGCTTCCCCTCCAGCACTGATGATGTTACCTAGTTGGCTAATGAAACGTCTGCAAAAAAACAAACAAAGCTTAAGATAGGGTCACAGTTTAATCATTGGCAATCGATGAGAGTGGATGGATTTTTATCAGTTTGGGAGATTGGTTGCGCAGACCGTCTTAAGGAAATTATGTCCCATTTCCTTGAGTTTGGGCCCCTTTGGCAGCAATCCCACGGAAGACAAGACAGCTGGGCCAGGAATCTCTCTCTTTTTTTGCTGGGAAGCTGCGTTCAGAAACGCATCCAGAAACTTAGAAGTTTCTTCGTCCGAGGAGCCTTAAGTCATGCAGTTCCTGAGGTTGTAAACTCTGGTCCACACCAGGAATAAGTGCGTAGCGTAAAGGGGAATCGATGTAACCGTTCCGGTAGAGGCAGACCCTTTTACAGAATTCAAAGGTGCTGAACATGATCCCGAAATAAGGAACGATCTGGATAAATAAACACAAAAGGCAAAAATTACCTTCAAAGTCAAATTTTAATATATATATATATTTTACTTAAGAGACTATTTTATCCCTAGGAGGCCGGTCTCTGTGGGAAAATATTGTAGTCTTTGATTATTAGATCCCGCCATTAATATTTTGTTAATTGGAGGGGAACTGTTTTAACACAAAAATACTCAGACCCATCCAAATTTTAACACATTTTTAACTGGTGGGGCTTTATACACTTGCTGATACTTTTTTTTAAAGATATTTTGTTTCCTCTGTCTCTCTCTCTCTAAGCATTAAAAAAAGAGAAAAGTATATTTGTTGAAACCGTTGCAACAATAGTTTCTTTGGTTAAGCTGTAATAACAATCTTGCATTTCCATTAAAAAAACAACAACCCAGCAACTGAAAAGAAGGTAAGATGGCAGAGGTGGTCCTTGACTTATGACCACAATTGACGGTGAAGTGAATTTTGCCCCATTTTATGACCTTTCTCGCCACCGTTGTTAAGTGAAAAACTGCAGTTGTTAAGTTAGTCACACCGTTGTTAAGTGAATCCGGCTTCCCCATTGAACTTTGCTTGTGTTCTGTCCACAAGGCTTTCCTGAGACAGTCACAATCACAATTTCAACAGCTGTGAATTATATGCATTCACAGCCAGCCAGGGGTAGGATTTACTGGTTTGCCAAACCAGCCTTAGAATTAGCTTACTGGTTCGGCTGAATGGGGGCAAACCAGTAGCATCCCACCCCTAACTGCAAGACTTACTGTTCTGCTCTTTATAATTACTAGCTGAATTTAAGACAGACAGATTTACTCCACCAAGGCATCCATACAAAGTCTCTTTATTGGTTCATCGGGCATCCTCAAATATAACTCACAGTTAGGTTGAGATTCATCTCAACGTCCAATTCTCTGCATAGCTGACTGAACTGGTGTAAAAGGATAGTTTCATCCCATAAAGGATAGTTTCTTTTCATCCCATAGTAGTGGAAGCAAAGGTGAGAAATGCCAGCACGATGCTGGGGTCTGAGCAAGAGGGAGGAAACCTCCTCCAACCCACCAAAGGTCAGTTCAGTGACCAGTCAGGATTACAGATGTGACCACATGACATGGACTACATTTCCCAGGATGCCTTAACTACATTTACCATGATGCATTCCCTTAAGGGGACAGCTCCCAATTCCTAACTAACTATGCCAGATTCCCATTAACTATAGACTGGCTGGACAGCACACTTACCCTGAGTAAATTGGCAGTTAGTCCATTCCAGAGAGCGAGGATTCCTTTGGCTTTTACCGTCTGTTTGAAACAATCTATCACGCCGTTAAAATGGACGTCAACCCCTCCAGAACAAGGGAGGCAAGAGCTTTGAGCCTGCTCGGGACGAGAACAGGAGGAGGCATTTAAAGCAGTGAAATCGACTCATTTCAGAACAGAATAAGAGAACAACAAGAGTTGGGAGGGATTTTGGAGGTCTTCTAGTCCAACCCCCGCCTGCTCAGGCAGGAAACCCTATAGCATTCCAGACAAAGAGTTATCCCATCTCTTCTTAAAAACCTCCGATAATGGAACACACATGACTTCGGAAGGCAAGCTGCCCCACCACTGTGGTAGGTTGGCATGCCAACAACGCAGAGAAAGAACATTTGGAAGCATGCCCGTGTGGCGCACTTAAATGTCCCGTCCCCTTTCTGACTCTGACCCTTAGATAAATCAAATCTGCAAAGGCAGATTCCAGAGGTGATAAGCCTCAATGATCCCCTCCGGCCATGGAGGATCAACTCCGATTTGCAAACTTGGCGGTTCATATTTCGTTTATGAAACGATGACCAGCTGGCCAGAGTTTCAGGCAATGGTGCCAACCAAGCAGACGAATTCCCTTTGTAGGATATGCAGCCTTCCCTTTCAACCAGGGATAGTCCTGCTGATCCAGTTCTACAGAGGAATGACTGAGTCTGTCATCTGCACCTCTATAACTGTCTGGTTTGGCTCTGCAACCCAACAGGACAGACACAGACCTCAGAGAGTAATTAGGACTGCAGAAAAAACAATTACGACCAACCTGCCTTCCAACCTGTACACTGCACGAGTCGAAAAGAGGGCTGTGAAAATATTTACAGACCCCTCACATCCCGGACATAAACTGTTTTCAACTCCTTCCCTCAAAACGACGCTATAGAGCCCTGCACACGAGAACAACTAGACACGAGGACAGTTTTTTTCCCTGAATGCCATCACTCTGCTAAACAAATTAATTCCATCAACACGGTCCAACTATTTACAAAGTCTGCATTACTATTAATCTTCTCATCACTCCTTATCACCTATCCCCACCCACTTGTAACTGTATGACTGTAACTTTGTCGCTTGTATCCTTACGATTTATATTGACTGTTTCCCAGTATGATTTGATTGCTTATTGTACCCTGTGACTATCATTAAGTGTTGTCCCTTATGATTCTTGACTCTTGATGAATGTATCCTTTCTTTTTATGTATACTGAGAGTATTTACACCAAGGCAAATTCCTTGTGTGTCCAATCACACTTGGCCAATAAAGATTATTCTAGTCTGTTCTGTTCTGTTCTGTTCTGTTCTGTACTGTTCTATTTAATTCTAATTCTAATTCTATTTTAATGGGTAGGCTCCATTATGGTCACCTACATGAGAATTTACCTGCCCTTGAAAGGCTTGAAATGCAAGTCCTCAACTTATGGCCATAGTGACGGGGTTGGGGGGCAAATTTCGGTTACTAAGTGAGACATCTGTTAAAAGAAAGTGTGCAATAGAAATGAAGTTCTAAATTCAGGTGCAGATTTAAGTAACAGAAGGCTGCCCCCTAGTGGCTCAAAAATAGCAAGACTTTCTTCTCCCTCAACCCTATACAGGAAGTCCTCGGCTCACAAGAATTCACTTAGTGACGGAAGTCACAACGACACTGAAAAAAATTGACTTAGGACCATTTTTCAGACTGACAACCGACATGGCATTCCCCACAGTCACGTGATAGACATTTGGATTCTTGGCAACGGACTCCTTTACGACGGTCACAGTGTTCCCAGGATCGTGGGATCCCCTTTTTGCGACCTGACCAGTCACGGCCCCACTTAGTGGATGTGGCGAGGAAAGTCGTAAAACGGGACAAACTCGCTTCACGAATGTTTCACTTAGCCACAAGGAATTTTGGCTGGAAGGTGACTGTAATTCAACCAATTATCCTAATCTAAAAAGGAGGCTGGCCATGAAATTGGGGGTGTGTGTGATTATTTCATTCTTAGGCGCATTTCTGTGATGGGAGTGAATGAAAGACACAGAGAAAAAAACTTTCTGATATATTTGTCGAGATAACAGATAATCAGAGTTGGAAGGGGCCTTATAGGCCATCTAGTCCAACCCCCCCTGCCCAAGCAGGAGACCCTATACCATTTCTGACAGATGGTAGTTTAGTCTCTTCTTGAAAGCCTCCATGATGAAGCTCCCACAACTTCTGAAGGCAACTTCTGTTCCATGGGTGGATTGTTCTCACTGTCAGAAAGTTTCTCCTTATTTCCAGGTTGAATCTCTCCTTATTCAGTTTCTATCCTTTATTCCTTGTCTGGCCTTCAGGTGCTTTGGAAAATAACTTGACCCCGCTCCTCCTCTCTGGGGCAGCCCCTCAAATATTGGAAGGCTGCTCTCCTGTCTCCCCTGGTCCTTCTCTTCCCTAGACTAGCCAGGCCCAGTTCCTGCAACCATTCTTCATATGTTTTAGCCTCCAGTCCCCCATTCATCTTGGTTGCTTTTCTCTGCACCCTTTCTAGAGTCTCAGCATCTTTTTTATAATGTGGTGACCAAAACTGGATGCAGTACTCTAGGTGTGGTCTTACTAAGACTTTATAGAGTGGTAATAACACCTCACTTGATTTCAATTGTATCCCTCTGTTGATGCAACTTAGGATTGCATTGGCCTTTTTGGCTGTTGCTGCACACGGCTGGCTCCCATTTAGCTGGTTGTCCACTAAGACTCCAAGATCCCTCTCACAGCTCCTGCTATTGAGCCTGGTTTCACCCAATCTATATGTGTCCTTTTGGTTTTTCTTGCCTAAGTGTAGGACTTTACTTTTCTCTACTTTGAATTTCATTTTGTTAAATTATAATAATAGGATTGTGAAACCTATCAGCAGCTTAAGATGGATAATTTGCTTCTTACTTTAGTAAGGGGGAAGAAAGTGGTGCTATTTACATGTTGACCTTTTTGTAATTAAAAGAAAAATATAAGAAAGGGATGCACGTTGCTTTAGCCCACTGCAGAGGCAACGAGAGGCAAGCATCTCGGCATTCCCAGCCAGCTGTCAAGCTCCACACCCTTGGCAGGTATGAAAAGGGTCCTTCCTTACCTGTATTTTCCTCTTGACGGTTTCAAAGGGGAAGGAGAAAGTTTGGGCCACCGCGGCGGCCAGGCAGCTGTTGAAGAAGTTTTGCATTGGTGTGAAAGGGAGTCCGGGCTGACCCCAGAGCCCATCCAGGTGAGTGTAAACAAGGAAGGAACCAACGGAAAATGGGATGGCACCTGTTAGGGAAGACAGATGAGGTAGATCTCATAAGGAATATCCGGAGGCAGGGGCATAGGTATCGATATTGATCTCCTAGGACAATGTCTTTGAAAGTCTAGCTGCTCTGACCCAGCTCCCGAAACATGATAAACCCTCTGACATTAACTCAAAAAATCCCTTTATTAGTAGTGCCAGCCACCTAACAAGTCTGTCTGGTGGAGAGATGAATAGTTCTTTGCCATACCTACTCATCTCCGCCCCACTGCCTTTAATCCCTAGAGCTAGGGTGGGGCTTCGCTAGCGGGGGCTCTTCTGTCCCGAGGACCAGCCCATAGATTTCCACTGCTCTCCTCTCCTCTGCCTTCTGTGCTCCCCTTCTTCATCAGCCACCTCCAGACCTGGGGGCTGTTGACTCTCCATCTGAGGGCTGACATGGCCCAGGCTGTCCCCCTCTCTCTCTGACAGCTCTGGAAGATATTAGGTGCCAGGTTAGGGATAGATCATTCTGGTGGAGGAACTCTGTTTATGGTGTCCGCAAAGAATTCTGGGAGTTGAAGTCCAGGCCTCTTAAAAAGTGCCAAGTTTGAAAGATAATATCTTGTTTTCCCGAAAATAGGACCTACCCCTCAGATGTCTGAAACGCCACCTGAAGATGCACCCAGATGACATCATACACACCTCAGATTGGATGGCCAGTTTGAACTATTGGTGGGGTGGGGATGTTACCATAACTTTGTGTATGTGATTTTCGTGCCTCACTTGGACAACATCAATCGATTCGAGGAGAGGAATCTTACATACCTAATACTGACAAGGAAAGACCCCGATAAAGGGCAGAGGCTCCTTCCTGGTGGTAGATCATGTACAAAGCATGAAGGATGCCTTTGTAGGGCGGCTCCAGTCGGTTCTGCACAATCAACCGCGTCTTGACCACTTCCGTTGGGTAGGTTGCAATGGCCGCCATCATTCCCGCCAGGCTGCCGGCCACAATGGCGTTCCACTGGGAAATGTGGCCGAGATCATCCATCAGCAACATCACACATCTAAGGCGAGACAAACAGAGCGTGGAGAACAAAAATAATTGTATTTTTTTGGGGGGGGGTGGAGTTTTCGTACAACAGGAGTTTTAGCTGGGATCCATCTTAAGATTAGGGTCCACCACATCTCATCTGACCATCTGACAACACCGTTTGGCTGAGCATCCTGTAGAACAGGATTCAACTGGGGGGGAGGGGGTGTTTCTCGCCACATACGTGCATACATACACATACGTGCATACATCCGTGTATACATGTATAAATGTACATCTATACATATGTGTATGGGTTGTTTCTCTTATATGTGTGGGTATGTGCATAGTTTTTCTTTCTCTCTAGATATCTATCACATATCTATTTATCTCTCTCTAGATATCTATCATCTATCTCTCTTTCTAGATATCTATCATCTATCTATCTAGATATCTATCATCTATTTATCTCTCTCTATTCATATATCTCTTTATCAAGATATCTATCAGCTCTCTCTCTTTATCTCTCTCTCTAGATATCTATCACCTCTCTCTCTCTCTCTCTCTTGTCTATCTCTCTCTATATATATTTCTCTCTCTCTATTTATACATATTGTTAGGAATGTAAGTCACCTAACAGTTGGGTTGGAAAATATATAAACCAGGATAGACATTTTAATACTGTCTCTTTAAAGGAATGCTAAAATTGTAATTGGGTGTGGTTCCTCAAACAGCCATAAGATGGAGCTTAGAAACCTGTTCTGGAGAGTGTTGCCATTCCTGCATTTCCCTATTGATTGTTGCTGATCATAGTTCTTCTTGGGTTTGATGTAAGTCTGTTACGGAACTGTTTTTGATACTGGACTTTGTCACTGGATTATCCTGGACTGAAAACTGACTGCTTTAACTGTGAATGACTTGGACTGTGTTTGGACTTTGCTTAACCACTTACTGGAAGTAAAAACCTACATTTTACTATACAGTGTAGCTGTGTTGTGTGTTATTCTCCACCACTCTCACTACGTCTCCCTGTGTGCGTTCATTCTCCTAACAGGGAATTACCTCAACGCATATCTCTCTCTTTATCCAGATATCTATCAGCTATCTCTCTTTCTCTCTCTATTTATCTCTCTGTCTCTAGATATCTATCACCTATCTC